AAGAGAAGAAGGCCTAGAATACAGTCTTAGAGTACACTCACAGTTAGTGGGTAGGATGTGAAGGATGAACTAGCAAAGAAACCTAAGAAGGACCAGTGAGAGAAGAAGGAAGAGAACAACATCAGGGAAACCCAGATAGAGACGAGGGGGGAGGGTGATAAAGGGTGCAAGTGCTGCAGAGAGATCAAGGCAGATGCAGGCAGAGAAGGTGCCCTCAGGGTGATTTACAGATCACTGGTGACTTTGGAGAAGGCAGTGTCAGCTGAGTAATAAAGTAGGAAGCCAGATTAGAGAGGGTTAAAAAGATAAATCAGGAGAAGTGGATCCACAAGGTATATATTGCTGGGAAAGATAGGAACATAATACAAACAGTTAGCAGGGACGGTGGGATCTAGTAAGAGTTTTTGAAGGATAGGGGAGACTTGGGCATTTTGGAGGTAGATATTGGGGAAGGAGTCAGTGGAGAGGAAGATACCGATGACTGGAAAGAGAGGAGGATAATGGTGGGGACAATCTTCTAGAGAAAGTGGGAGAAGATGGGATCAAAGATCATGTAGAGGGAGTTGACTTTGGGTAAGAAGGAAGGCCATCACTACATTAGAGACTAGAAGAGAGGATGAAATGGTAGAGAAAGTTAAATAAGGACAGGACTGGTTAAGAGTGATTTAAATTTTTCTTTGACCCTGTCTTTCCATTTCTGGAATAAGGAGGAAGAAATTTGACCTAATAAATAGAGAAACAGATGGAAAAAACTGAATTCCTTTCCATTTCCATTACAATCACTAAATCTATCAATCTTTTCTTTTTTTTCAGTGCCCCTACCTAGAACCTACAGATAAGGTTCATTCATCATTCAACTTAGAAGTATCTTGAGGATTACTGGCATGAGTTAGGTTTTATCAGGCAAATAAGCTATCCTCTGGGCATGAATAATAGTAAATGGTAGTAATAATAATCATAATCATAATCATAACAATAACTTCCACTTATGTAGTAGAGTTTATAAAGTGCTTTGTAATACATCGTCTGATACAAGTCTGATAACTTTTTACAGGTGAGGAAACTGAGGCTTAAAGTGGCTTTCTTCAAGTCAAATACCTATGAAGAATCAGAATCAGAACCCAGGTCATTCTGACTCTATGTACAAAATGCTACCTACTATGCCTTTGTGACCTCTCAAAACATTTTCAGAAGACACTCCTAAGGCTAGGCTGATACCATTTGGCATAATGGAGCAATAATTCATTTGACTGCTCTGGGAAAAAAAATTAACCATCTGGTTTATTTTGGGAAAAATATAAACCATCACCACCAAAAAAACTTAACAGACTTCTGAAAGTATAGGATCTGGTCTACTTTCTACAAAGATGCCTGACTGTCAGGAAGATCCGAGTTCAAATTTGGTCTAAGACTATCATCCTGGGAAAATCACTTAACTTGACTGCCTCAGTTTCCACAACTATAACTGGGAATAATAATAGTACTTCCCATTCAGGGCTGCTGTGAGGATCAAATGAAATAATATTTATAAAGTATTTTATGCCATATAGATGCTGTTCTTGTTATTATTATTATTATTTTCAGGCAAAATATATTACCACCATTGACGCTGCCTAGGCTTACATCTACTAGGTCAGACCTATTAGGAGCATGGCTTGAGTTCTCTTTTTATTCTAGCCAGAGGTTGCTGGAATGTAGATTGCATTATGTATCATCCACTATTGAAATAAAACTATTTTTATGGGCTGGCTAGTATGTCATAATACACAAAATAGTTATCATGATGCCAAGTTGGCAACAAACAAAATTCCCATCAACAAGTTATCCTTCTTGTTCCTGAATATCATGACAAGTGAGCTGTCATGCTCCAAGCGTAGGAGGACCTGAAATAATCTGTGTTCTATGCAGAGCACATTTTAGTTCCAAAGCAAATCAAAGATCATCATTGGGCACCACCGAGGCTGTGCAACCCTTAGTGCTCCTATTTTTGTCTTTGGCATTTGGGGAGGCAGGCATCATGCTGTAATTCTGTAGAATGTAAGTTCCTTGAGGATAGGAAGTATTCCTCTTACACTTTGTATCCCCAGTTCCTAGCATACTGCCTTGTACATAATGGATGTTTAATAAATGTTCATGGAATGGAATTAATGGAAAAGAGCACCAGGCTGGGAGTGGGGAGGGCAGTCAGAAGATTTAGATGCTAGTCTAGGATCCACCACTAAAAACATTTATACAATGCCTACTATGTGCCAGGCATTGTGCTAAATTCAGGAGATACAAAAAGATGCAAAAGTCCCTGTCCTCAAAAAGCTTACCATCTAATGGGGGAGACACCATACAAACAAATATATACAAAGCAAGCTATATACATACAGGATAAATAGGAAATAATTGAGAGGGAAAACACTGGAATTAAAGAGGAGTTAGGGAAGGCTTCCTGTAGAAGGTGGGATTTTAGTTGGGACTTAAAGGAATCCATGGAAGTCAGTAGTTGGAATGGAGGAGTGAGAGCGTTCTGGACATGGGGGACAGCCAGGAAGAAGTCCCAGAACAAACAGGAGGCCGGTATCACTGGCATGAAGAGTATGTGTTGGGAAGTAAGATGTAAGAAGACGGAAAAATGGGGGTAAATACCTTCTCTTCCTTCACAGGTAGATCAAATATAATAAGTAATAGTGCTTTGAAATAATAAAAATGTTATGTAGCTGTCAGATATTGTTACATGCATACTGGCAAAATATTAAGCAGGAGAGAATAAAAATTCATGCTTGACTAGTGAGAAATACTTGGATCCTTACTCCTGGGTCACCACAGACAGTACCTTCTCAACCACTGCACCTCCATTCCACGCCCACCCCCTTCTCCTCTATTCCACTGTCATCAACACTTTCTTCTGCATTCTGTTAGCTCCTTCACTGCCTCTCTCCAGGGATATGTACCCCATGGCAAAGGCATCAGCCCCTGGACAACGCTGGGAATTTTTTTTCCATTAAGTCAGCTTTGTCACTGAGCCGCATAGCAACAAACCCAATTGTCTCTTTGATCTGTGGTTCATGCTTCCTGTATCATCATTCCACATGAGGCACTGACCAGACTTACTAAGAAAGCCCAATAACTGGGACCTGAAGAGCCTCCCAGAAATATAACCACCTAATCTACATAAATGCTCCAATGTCTGAGGCAAGTCTACCTTGTATAAGCCTGCCCCTGAAGTACGGCTTTGCTAGCTCAAGTTTTTTTGTTTTTTTAAGCGGAGGAAAAATGGACAACAGAGAAAAGAAGATGGTCCATCACAATCTTTCATGGTCACTGAACATAAACACACATGCTTTCAAGTGAGGCTGAGGGAAGGTAGTTGGAGACACTGGAGAGATGTTTTAGTGAGAGAAACCCCTCATCAGCAGGCTGTTTTCTCTGTGCCTGGCTTTTCCCAATGGATACAGAAGGGCAGGAGTTACTTGGCGACTCTCACACAAAGCCCTTCTGTCCCTGCTTTTAAACTGATGAACAAGGCAGCCAGTAGCCAGGCAATGATCTGTACTGATGGGGCTCCGAGGGAAACTAACCGAACTTGATCACAAAGTATTAGAGACAGGACAAACAGTGAACTTTAGAGAAAGAGAGCAAGGGTAAGAAGAATCAGTGGACTTGGATAAGTACTCCCTATAGCCAGGAACACAAGTCATGTTTCACAACTTTCACTGAGAACCTATTTATCTTTTTTTTTAAAAGAAGCTTTAAAAATTATTTAATATTTTATTTTCCTCCCAATTACATGGAAAAACAATTTTAACATGTTTTTTCAAATTTTGCATTCCAAATTCTCTACCTCCCTCCCTCCCCTCCTTACCCCATTGAGAAGGCAATCAATTTGATAGAGAGAACCTATTTATCTTAAAAAATAATGATCAGTGCCTCCAAATCACATTTCCTCATGTTATCACTCTTCACTAATTCAACTTTCTCTCCTGGGTGTTATAGGGAAAGAAGATGATGTTCTACAGCTGAAATATGTAAGGACTTTTTCAAATGAAGCAAACAGCCTTTAAATTTCTCATCATCCTTTTCCATACTTTCAATTCAATTTAAAAAATGTTTTTTAAATTAAGTAAATTTTTTTAACAGAAATGCCTTTTCTTTTGGTCCTGATATAATGTTACTTCACATTTTATTATTCTGGTGCTACTTAGGAATCTTCAAGAAGAAATTGTGAAACACACTGGGTGCTCAAGGATTTGGGGTTTGGGTACAGTTTCTTCCCCACCTCTCAACAAATGATCATAAAACTTATTTTGGTAGCCTTCTTGCTGCCAAAGAATCTACTTCCCCTTGAGTCGGCAGCAGTTCTGATCGAGTCTACTTGTGATGAAGTAACTTCCAGTTCCCCTCCGTCCCTATTTAATTTTCCTTTGACCCCTCCCTTACCCTGGGAAAGAACCATGGCCTTGAAATGGCTCTTACACTGGGGAGCAAGGAGCTAATTTTTGCAAATGAGCTATTGTGACTATTAGTTTATCTGGTGTAGCTTCAACATAGCTCCTCAAAGTTATGTTTTGTTCATCTAAACCACGCTCTCATAGAGTCATCACAAGAGCTCTGCTTCAGGAAAGGGCTTTTTTACCACTATGGGAAGGACAGTTACCAAGTAATTCTTAAGTTGGGAAACCCGGTCCTGAGACATTTAAAGTCCACTGACTACAATTCTCAGGGTTTCTTTAGCCTGGCTCTTTTGTAAGAAGAGGTTTCCTTCTTAGTTAGGAAAGAATGGAAAATAAAGAGAGTAGGAGGATTAAGTTGGCAGGTCAGCAACACAGCCACTGTCACTACCTCAAAGTAACCAGGAGAATTTCCACGTGCTACTCTACACCTGAAGTTACAGGTTTAAGGACTTCTACCACCCCTCTCCAACTCCACACCCTGAAACCTAAACTAAACAATTCAGTCACAAGTGAAAATTGCCTCTTTATAAAAATCCCTGCCAAGGTGGAAGCAATCTTTACCTTACAAGCTGTTAACATGTCAGACACTGCTTTTCGGCTCAGATTTGCAGTAGCAATCACATCCTCCTGTCTGCACGAGTTCCCGGCGGCCACAGCTTTGGCTGTTGCCATAGTGATGCCTTTCGTCATCCTTATCGATTCTTCAGGTGATGATGTCTTTTCTGGTACCTCCTTTGACTGAAACACCTGGTAAGGTAAGAGGAGAAAGGGGAAAAAAAAAACAACCCACAACTCATTTTTCTCTTTGCCAGGCCACCGCCCAGTGCTTCAAAACAGATGCAGTAATTGGAAGCAAACTTCCAATGGCAGGAAATTAGAAATTTAATTTGAGTACAATAATATCATTCCTGCTTGTCAAGACTCTAGCCCTGATAATCCTCTAACACCTACACTGGGAACAAGCCATGGAAGGCATGCGTAAAATGTTAACCCATTCGGCTGCAGGAGCTGACACCCAACATGTGTCACTTAAACAGTCCTGGGAAGGTCCCCCATCCTTTTCTTTCTCCCAGCAGCTCTCAAGATCTTGCAGTCCCTTTGATTTGTTTGTTGATTGCAAGGGCAAGGCTGACCTGGATGCATCTCAGAGGACTCATGCATCTCTCTTTAAAGGGGTGTGGGGTTGGGGGAAATGAGGCTTTGAGCTCACTCTATTCTTAGCTTCTCTTACAAATATAACTGCATAATTGTGCAGAGGAGCTCAAGTCGAGTGAGCTATGGTGACACTGTGAATTATTTAGCAACACATACATTTTTAGAGATGCTGAAATAAATTAACCATGGTAAATGTATATCCTACTTTAAAGCTGCACCATCAATCATATCAAAGATTGTTTTGGGTTTGTATTCTTATCTCTTTTTTTTCCAAGGTTGATAATGGATGCCTTTCACTTTGTACTGCACATTAGTTACCTAGGAAAAGGATGAGCATCCTGATAGTACTTGACTGATAGCAGATCTGTTGTTTTGTTGATTAGACATGGCTTCATGACCCTCTGGGGTTTTCTTGGCAAAGATACTAGAGTGGTTTGCCATTTCCTTCTCCAGTTCATTTTACAGATGAGGAAACTGAGGCAAACAGGGTTAAGTAACTTGCCCAGGGTCACACAGCTAGCAAGCATCTGAGGCCAGATATGAACTCCGGTCCTTCTGACTCCAAGGCTGGCACTTTATCCAGCGAGCCACTTGGCTGCCCTAATCCCAGATTAGTTTGAGCTTATCTCGGGATTTTAAGGAAGAAGTTTTCTAGAGGGCTTCCCCAGCACGTCTAACTCAAGAAGCATCATTCCAGCTATGGAGGAGTAAAAGAAGGATGGGCCCAGGAAAATCCATAGGACTGTAGTACGGGTGTAGGTGTATTCTGGAGACAACCTCTATGTGAACAGAGCCCTCCCTTTTCAGAGTTTTTGGGAAACTGTGGGCAATCACAAAGGCTCCAAAGCCCCTATGTGATTCTGAGCAGTAGTTCCTGAGCATTGTCTGGCTGCAGTAAATGCTGTATTTTCACTTTATCTTTTCAAGTACAAACTAAATACTAAACCAAGGAAGGTCTCAACAATTAACATAAAAGACTAGGTCAATAGGGTGGAAGTTGGTGCCTCCCAGGCAAATACTAATGGGATTTCTCCTTTCTAATACTAGGTGTGAGTTGATTCTATCACAGGTGAATGACCAAGTCATAGAAGAGAGAGAGGAGGGTCACATGACTACAGCTGAATTCATGTCCAAATTTCCCTTTTTAAAGAAGGTCCAATAGATTGTTGGTCCATTTTCAGCCAATTCCTCCTTAGTACAATTAGGACATGATAATGAAGGACAGGGCACGATGAGGAAAGAAAAGAGGAGGAGGAGTAGGTACATTTATCAAGACAGCAATGCACCAAAACCCTCTTCTCTGTAGTGCAAGAGAGTTAGAGAGAAAACATACGAGTGTGTTTCATGCCTGAAACGCACAGGGGCAATGAAGTCAGGTACGCTGTATGACAGCACCATCTACAAAGAGAAGGAAATGAATGTTAAGGGTAAAGTTTCTAGGGGACAGTTATTTGGTTTTTTACCGTCAGCTCTTGTTTTATGTACTCAATGGTGGCTTCCAGAGCCCTGGTGCCTCTGGTAGCTTCATCCTCCACGGCTTTCACTGTCTTCAGAAGAGATGTGACATTTGTTACCATCACCTAGAAAGGGATTAAGAAAAAGAGAGAAGAAATAGTATGTGGGTTGAGGACTTTTCCCTAGGAGAGTGATAGTAAGTCATAGGTTTGATGATATCACAAATATCTAAAATACCGCTGCACTAGCAAAAAAACAAAAAAACCCCCAAAAAACCCAAAACCTTCCACTAAGGTTCTACTTTGATTTGTCAACATAATCTTCAGACTGGGACAAGGATCAATCAATAAGCATTTAATCAATCAATGAGCATTTTTTTTACCTGCCTACTCTAGGTCAAGTACTGTGTACACATTAGGTACACAAAGACAAAAAAAGGAAGTGAACCAGTCCCTGCCCTCAAGGAACTTACTTTTCTTTTCTTTTTTCTTTTTTTTTTTTGAGGCACTCAGTTAAGTGACTTGCCCAGAGTCATACAGCTAGTAAGTGCCTTAGGCCAGATTTGAACTCAGTTCTTCCTGACTGCAGGTCAGGTGCTCTATCTATTATGTCACCTAGATGCCCCAAGGAGCTTACAGGTTAATGAGAGAGATAATATGAATATATATAAAGAAGATATATAAGGTATGGTGGAGAGAGTGGAGGAGGTCTGTATGAAGTGGCACTGATGGAGATGGGATCTGAACCCTTAAAAGGAAAAGACCATGTTTCTGGGATCTGGATCCCAAAAAGGAAAAGCCCTGGACTTTCCCACCTAGCCAAATCTCTGGTGTTCATTTGAGGCTATAATTCTATCAACTGGCCTTTCATTATCTCTTCTCTGTTACTCTTAACCTAGCCTGGCCCTCATTGTGTTACCTCTCTATGCTCCCAAACCCCCCCCCACTTCCCACCCTTAATCCTATCTAGGCTCCATTCTCCCCTGGTCCTGGTCATTCTGTTACCTCAAAGCCACCCCAGCCTACTGGCCACTCCCATCCAGATCCTCCTCAGATGCCCCCTTCAGTCACCCCAGACTACCTGGCCACTCCTAGATCCCTCCCACAGTCTTTCTGTATAGAAGGTTCATCTGGCCTCCATTAAGGTGCTCAGATTCTTAAGATCTGGCCCGTTTGCATTAGCGATACCCAAGAGTCTAGCCAATATGGCAAATTCTTTAAATCCCATCTATCCCCAATCGATGTTCTAATAAATTTTGTCTTTGGCTGAATACATTCAGGCAGAACCCTCGTGTTGTGATTTTAGGGCCCCAGCACTCCTAAACCTCTAAATCTCAATTGCACTTGGGCTGAATCTTGAAAGAAACCCAGGATTACAAGATACGGAGGAATGAGAAACAGTACAAAGATACAGAGATGGGAGATGGGGCATCATGTGTGAGGTACAGCAGCTAGTAAGCCTATATAGCTAGGTGGTATATGGAATATATGGTGGAGAATAAATGTGAGAAGGCTAGAAAGAGAGGAAGGGGCCAGGTGGTCAAGAGATTTAAATGGGAGACAAGTGTTTGTATTTGATCCTACAGGTACCTGGGAACAACTAGAGTTTATTGAGTGTGTATGTTGAGGAGGGAGGGAAAGCTATGGCCAGATTTAGGACAATTTTTTTGTTTTAGGACAATTATTTTGGTGACTGTGTGGAGAATGGAATCCAGTGGGGAGGCTGAGGCAGAGAGTTCATTCAAATGGCAATAAGCCAAGTGAGAGGTGAGTAGAGACTGAATGACGGTGGTATTTGGGTGAATGGAAAGGAAAACGGAGAGATCTGTCAGCTTATCTGATATACAGAGTGAGTGAGTGAGGAACTGAGGAAGATGCTGAGTAAATGGAAGGATGGTGGCACTCTCAGCTGTAACAAGGAAGGTGAGATGAGGGGTGGGTTTGGGGAGGGAAGATGACGGATTCTACTCTGGACATGTTGAGCTTGAAATGCCTTTGGAACATCTAGTCTGAAGATCTTAAAAGGTAGTTGGTGATGCAGGTCTGGAGCAAAGGAGAAAAACTAGGGCTGGATATGCAGACTTAGGAGTCACCTGAATAGAGATGACAGGTGAACCCTTGGAGAGGCGATGTGGGGTGTGAGAATCCAGGTGATAAGGTCACTAAATAGGACAAGGCCCAGAGAAAAAGAAAAGGTCCAGAGCAAAACAAAAAACAACAGGCAAAACAAAAACAACAACAAAAACCACCCCAAACTCACCGCTTTTACATTAAAAAAAAAGTGGACATATGTATCTTATTCACTCATGTATTCCTCATCTTTCCATTCTACTATGAGAAATGTGAATTTTCTTTTCTCCTTTTGTTTAATTCAGTCAATCAACAAGTGTTAATTACATACTTATTATGTGTCAGGCACTAAGCTGGATGCTGGGGATAGAAATATAAGAGGCAATACCTTCCTTCAAGGAGACTGCATTCTAGTAAGGTGATACAACAAGTTCAAAGATAAATAAATAGGATATATGCAAAGTACTTATATTGTAAAATGAAAAGAGGAAGAAAAATATCTGGGAAGGCCAGGAAAGGCTTCTGTAGGAGACTTGTACCTGGCCTGAGCCTTGAAGGGAGGTAGGGGGTTCTAAAAGGTGGAGATGAGGGGGGAGAGCATGGAAGATGAATAAGTCACAAAGGCCAAACAAAGATGGAATGTCATGATTTCAGGATAGAAGTAGGAGTCAGGTAAAGCCTTACATGATAACTCTGACAAATTTCAGTGAAAGATGGATTACATACAAATAGGCATATCACTTTAGCTTAATAAAGGCATACAACCCATGCATAAAAGTCAGCTAACCTGGAAGTCAATACCACTTTTACCCCTGGCATCATTCAAAGAAACTAAGTGGCTGTCAAGCTTTCCAGGACAATGGATCACCAAACATGCTTCCTTTCTGATTTTCTTCCATCACAGTCTTCAGTTTTGATCTTTCCAAATATGTGTATGCCTGAGTCATAAATGTTGATGAATCTCTAACACAGTCCTAGTGATCAGGTAAGAGGATTTAACTGGGTGATGAAAAAAAAAAAACACTTTTTTTTTTTGCATATGGTAAAAGGGATTTGAGTTGAAGATGAAGTGAGAGCAACGTGTTGGTTTTTTTGGGCTCTTATCAAGTTTTCATATAGCAAGTTGACAAAAAAAGGAAAATGGCTAATGTTGGACAGGCTGTAAGAAATAGGCACGTTAATGCGATGTTGAAGGAGTCACGAATTTGTACTGCCATCCTGGAAAGTAATTTAAAACTATGCCCCCAAAATTAGTAAACTGTGCATAGCCTCTGACCTAGCAATATCACCATTAGGTTTCAAAGAAGTCAAAGGAAAAGGTCATATATGTATGGCTCTTTTGTAGTGGCAAACAATTTAAAACTAAGGATTTACTAATTAATTAGGGAACGGTAAACAGATTATGGGATGTGAATGTAATGGAATACTATTGTGCTACAAGAAATGGCAAAGGGGACAACTTGTGGGTCTTAATCGGACCCTAGTAGAAGGACTTAAGAAGACTTGTACAAACTGTTGTAGAGTGAAGTGAGAAGAAGTAGGGGAGTAATTTATACCATAACAACAATACTGTAAAAAGGATAACTTTGAAAGACTTAAGAACTCTTAATGATCAAACATTACTCCAGAACCAGTGATCAACCATGACTCCAGAGGTCCAATAATAAAGAATGTTTTCCACCTGCTAACAGAGAAGTAATGGTCTAAATATGCAGAATGAGACATTTTTGGACACAGTCAATATGCAAATTAGTTTTGTTTGATTATGTATAAGTCTGTTGCAAGTTTTTTTTTTAATTTGTTGGGGGGGAGGGGGAGTAGAAGAGGTGAGAGGACAGAAAATATATATTTGTTAATTGAAAGCAGTTTCCATGATGAATATTATAACACTATTTTATGCCCTCATTTTCACCTGACATCAAACTGAGGATTCTTGGCCTTAAAATACAAATTCATCGACCTGTCACGCTCACTGCTCACCCTAAAAGGCAGGGGCAGGGACGATGTTACTGACATCTCTTCCCTGGGCCTCTACCTACACAGCAAATGCTACAACAGCAAACCGATGCTCGTGACACAGCTACTGCTGCGTTAAACTTGATACAAGTCAGGTTGTGATGCTGCCAGAGATCACACAACGTGCTGAATAAATCACTTTAACGGGTTATTTTTGTCACTAGAAAGACCGTGTTGCTAAAGATAATTTCAAACTCAGAGAGAACAAAACTGGAAGGTTTTCACCAGGTAATAATAGCATGCTACAAATAAACCAGGCCATGGAGAAAAAAACCGACCCCTAAAACAAACAAATGCCTGAATGAACTGCCATTTGAAAGAGAGGTTAGGGAAAACAGGAAGCCCCTCATCTACCTTGGCTGCACCCTTGAGCTGGTACATGGATGGATCATCGGCCGGCTTGCTGGCAGCTCCTTTAGTAGCACCAATGAGATCAGAAAGGGCCTTGGCCACATCTTTGATGGCATTGATCAGGACCACCTAACAGAAAGAGAAGTAGGAAACCCTCACATCACAACCCCATCTGTCTTCATTCTGTCAAATATGAAGGATAGGCATGAAGGATTGGGCAGAGATAAGGATATCTTTTTATAATAAAAATGGTTTTTTTTGGAGACCTGTGATTTCCATGATCCTAGGAACTTTCAGAATGGAAATTAATCTCTAATTTCTAGCCTTCAGAGGGATGCCCAGGGCACCAAGAGGTAAAAATGCCTTGCCCACCAGCACAAAGGAAGCATGTGTCAGTGGCGGGACTTGAATCCAGGCCTTCCCTACTCTAAGATCAACCTTTCCTTCATTATCCTTTGCTGCTTTTCAAAAAAACAGCACAGCTAAATGTTTTTTAGCCAGTGGCTTTGTTGACCTGGCCCATTTCCTACAACGGGACTGAGATAGATAAATAGTCATTATGACTCAATACCCCTCTTACCTCATGAGACTAAATAATTCGATGCATATACTAGCATGCCCTTTCACAGAATGCATTATGTTAATCTGTCTTATTCCGTGGTAACTGTAACTACTTGATGCGTTTTTACAGCATTTCTTCCCTTCCCTTAACCAGTCTTCCATCTTTCTTTCATAAAAGTAGTGCCAAATTTCTGGGCATGGAGAAAGGATGGAGGTTTGGCTTGTTTCTACTGACCTTGTGCTGCCCTTACTGTCATGGAGCACTGGGTTGTGGGGCACTGGGTGGTGGTACTACTGTGTGGTGAGAGACGTAAGAAGAAGGGGGCAAAAGGGGGTCAAGCAGTTTCCTACTTTTCCTTAACTACTGAGAGCTTCCCAACCAACATAGGGACATTGGAGAGCGCTCGACACTAGTCATTTTCTACAAGAAATCAGGACAATCCCTTCGGGTGTTTTCAAAAGCTTGGGAGTCCACAGAAAGTAGCACTTGGGAACTCTGTTATCATCTGCATTAAACTGAGTTCTCACGTTTCACCTTTGAAGGTAGGATGGCCCTACATTTTCCAGAGTTGAAACACACCAAAACAAACTGTCGCCAACGTGAGGCTCTAATTCTAGTTATCAAGTTATAGCCTTTCAGTCCTCCATGGGGTAAAAGCAATACCAAAGGAAAGGATTGTGCGAATACTCAAAATTCCACAGGGCGGCCAATTTGGATTCTGATATTATCAAAGAGAAATCCAGGAGGGGAAAAAATCTACAATTTAAGGAATGTTTCCCCTCAGAGCTATGCTTCATAAGAGGATGTCAGAAGAGGAAAGCAGCAGAGCCATTTGGGGAAAAGTTGCTAATGTTTTATTAACGAACTGCAATCACGTATTAGCGATGCAAACAACACCATTTGCTCTGTGTTACATAAATAAAAGGTTCTTGTCTGTTACGAGCCATCTGAACCGAAAGGATGGACTTGTGGAGAAAGATTAAGGAGCTAAGTCTGAAGAGTTTACCACCTGATGGGCTGGAACTAGCCAAACGAACAGGAATGAGCAATAACTTTTCTTGGAAGCTTCCAAATGGTGAGCTGCTCACCGAACCTGCTTGCATTTAAGAGAACGTAAGTGATAATTCTAGGGCCGGGACAGAAGCTGCAAGGTCTCTGAGTTCACTTCCCTCTCCCAAAGCCAAATATGCACGAAATCATATATTACCTGTATGTTCTGTTTTACTTTCAGAGATCTGAAGACTAGGGTCAGTTATCTGTATAACTAAAAAGGCCATGCCCACAAACAGAGGAACAGGCTTATAAACCAAGAACTAGAAGGCCCTCTATTATTTTACAGCTGAAGAAACTGAAGCCCAGGGAGGTTAATTAAATTTTTATATTCAGATGCCCTCAGTAATTCTCACACCTGGGTCTCAGGATCATCAGACCCCAGGCTGGCTGCTCCTAGCTTCACCACCTCGGCAAGTTGGGTGATGGTGGCTGCCGATGACTCAGCTGCCTGGGCCAGTTTATCTTGAGTGGAAGCAGCCCCCGACACCAGCAGTTTTGTATCCTCCACCAAGGCCTTTGCCGTCTTCAAAATGTTCTCCCTGGGAGCAAAAATAAGGCAGAAGAGAATAAAGGGGCAATGGACAACTTGTTGACTGTGTGAGGCTCAGGAGAAAAGTAGGGTCCGAGGCTGAGATAGATGCCCATCGGCCAAACCACGGTACCCACAACGAACCAAGGCTTTAAGAAAGAAGGGTTGGAGAAAGCTGTTGTCAAAGGAGGATGCTGCACAAAAGGATTTCCTTATTGAGAGAGACAGAAAGAGGAGGAAAGAGAGAGAAGGAGAGGGGGAGACAGAGGGAGAAGGAGAGGGGGAGAGAGAGAGAGAGAGAGAGAGAGAGAGAGAGAGAGAGAGAGAGAGAGAGAGAGAGAGAGAGAGAGAGAATGAACCAACCACCCTCTAGAAGGGATGGAGAAACTGCCAACTGACAAGAAGCGAAACATAAAATATCTTGGATTTTAGATCTGGAAAGGACCTTAGAGGGGATCTAGTCCAGCACCTTCATTTCACAGATGGAGAAACTGGCCCAAAAGGTGAAGCAATTTGCCCAAAGCCATAAATGAAAATGGTAGAGCCTAGATTTGAATCCAATTGCTGACTCTAGAATGCATTATTTTTTTCCATTTCACCATGATCCAGAGGCACAAATTTATATAACCAGACAAGCTTAGGAACTGTACCAAAGCCAAGTGGTTTAGTATTTTCTCTCTCTCTCTCTGGCAGTTGGGGTTAAGTGACTTGCCCAGGGTCATACAGCTAGTAAGTTTCTGAGGTTATATTTGAACTTAAGTCCTCCTGACTTTGGGGCTGGTACCCACTGTACCACCTAGCTGTCCCTAGTTCTCTCTTCATAGTTCTACATTTACACCAATGGGGGGATTTTTGTGTGTATGACATTCTTTTTTACAAGTTAAGAAAATGAGCAGAGGACACTAGGCTCACTGTATGAAATCAGACAAGTAGGGCTGGAAAAGGACCCAGGGGAGCCATACGGACAGAGGTGAAGTTCTCCATTATACTATGTTGAGATTTCTAAACCAATGGCAGGAGATGAGCCTGGGAGGAACAAATGCTGGGAGATGTCTTCATCCTTCCATGCCCTAGGAAGCAGGATCAGAGATGGAGGGAGGTACACAGCAGCTGTGTGGCAAGGATGCGGCCTCTAGCAGCACACATGGAATTCTGACAGTTCTAATTTGGGAGGTGCTGCAGGAATGAGTATTCCTTAGTTGCTGTTCAAGGTCCCAAACTCTGACCCAGGCAAGGAAAAGAGCCTAGGTCTTGAGCATAAGTTAGAATCTCAAGCTTTCTGGCCAATTCTTTTCTCTATTACTGCTATGTACAATTACCACGTGGTTAATAAAAGAATGAGTTACAGGAATGATTTCCTGTTTTCCTGAGTGAGAATGCCTTCACTGGAGCAGGCTTTATTTGGGTTGTGAAATAGAAGGCTCAAGAAATGATTCTACTTTTAACTCTAGTAAACAGGATTTATTTTGACTATTTGGCTTGCTCTACTTATCTGACTGCTTTCCTTTCTCCATAACCCCCTTTCTAATCTCTTCAGAATCATAATAAAGCTTTTTGCCTGCCTCTCTGGAGTGAATTTCAGAATTCTCCCCAGGCAGGTACCACTCAATCTTGACCGTCACCTTTGGCTACCTCTGGGGCAGCTGCCTCTTTGTCTTCTGTACCAGCCCTCCCTCCTTTGCTTTGACCAAGTCCTAACCTGTGGTCTGCAAAGGTTTCATTGTTCTCGGCATTGAGGGTCCCAGCTGTTGCAAACATGATGGTGGTGTCCAGATCAGCAATGATGCCTGACACAGCACTGGCCGCTGTGATGCAAGCCTGAGTCCCTTTATTCCCTGCTTGGAGGGCAGACAGAACCAAAGAAACCTGGAAATCAGAGACAAAGGAAACAAAAAAAGAGACAAAGGGAATTACCCAAAGGTGAGCAAAGACTTACAATCATGAAGATGATGTCGGTCATCTCTAAGGTCTCTTCCAGTCCATGACATCATACAATGAAAAGAGCACTGGCTATGGAGTCAAAGGACCTGGGTTCAAATCCCACTTCTGATACTTATAACCTATGGCACCTTAGGCAAAATCATTTGTATTCCCTGGGCCTGAGTTTCCTTATCTTTAAAACAACGGGACTAGCCTCTAGACACCTCCAAGGTCCCTTCCAGTTCTACATCTATGTTCCAATGATAAATCTATGGATTTATGGTTCTAGATCACATTGAAAATCAGGCAAGAAGAACTCACAGTTGGGATACCTTAAAAGTCTGGTCATCTCACACTGGGTGGGCAGAATTAACTTCTCCTCTGACCTTGTTTTTCACATTTCTGTGCATTAACCAATGCAAGCAGGTTTTCTACAGGCTGGCATTTGTGTTTTGTGTCCTGGGATGCCTCTCCACCAGAAATGAACCATGGTCAAGAAGCAACCTACATCTCCTCTGGACATAAAGGACTAGCCCTTCCCCACACCATGGGAATGATCAGTATTCTAAGCACTCATCTTTTCTAATAGCCTAGCAAAAGGAAAAGCTTCCCTTGATCTAATAAATGAGAATTCCAATTATCTGGCCATATGTAGCATAGACAACATAGGAACTAGTAGCATTCATTTCCATATCACCAGGACTTTTAGGTAATCTATGCTGATGCTCAATGACGTGGTATTCATCTTCTCTTTAGTCATCTGTCAGACACAGAATCTCTTTTTAAAAATTTTCAGGTCCGAATTCTCTCCCACTCAACCCTCCCTACTCCAAACTCTTTCCTGGCTAACTGAGAAAAGGAGAAAAACAAAACCCTTCTATAGTCAAGCAAAGCAAATTCCTGCTGTGGCCATGTCCAAAAAAAGCCTCAATCTGCATTCTGAACCCATCATCTCTCTATCAGGAAGTGGGCAGCATGTTTCATTGTATACCTTCTGGAACTGCGGTTGGTCACTGAGAAACAGAACTTCTTAAAAATAATCCCCCCTGCCCTCCCTCTCCCAGATACTCCCACTACAACAGGAGCACTAAGGCGTGTTTTTAATCACAGACTGTGGCAGGGAGACAAAGTGAAGAGAGAATGATGACCACTCACAAAAAGAGCAGGTACCATTCCACCACCCGCTCACCTATGCATGACACAGACCCTTGGATGGTGATGGGCAATTTCCAATTAAAAAACAAATGACGATGGGAGGCAGTAAAGGTGTTAAGGGAGGGCGGGAAAGTAGACTGGAAAGAGAACTGGACTTGAGGTTCGAAAAACTGGACCCAAATCAGACCTCTGCGACTTGCAAGTTATTAATTTTCAAGCTTCAGTTTTCTTTTCCATAAAATGGGAGTAAGAATACTTATACTGCCTACCTCACAAAGTTACGAGGATCAAGTGAGACAATGTACACAAAATGCTTTGTAAATTGTAATAGAAATGCTAGCTATTATTAATGAGAAGCAGTAAGAACACAATAGTGTTCTTAACATATTCGTAACATAATGCCATTGTCCAGTGCAGTGATTTTTTTTCTTTTTATCTATTCATTTATCCATTTATTTATTTTTAACATCAATTTTTAAAAATTTTGAGTTCCAAATTCTCTCCCTTCCTCCAGCCCCTCCTCTACCTATTAAGAAAATAAAAAAGATGACATCAATTATACATGTGAAGTCAGTAGCACAGGGATTCTTAACCGGGGTTCTGTGAACCTGAAATTTTTTAACTAAATTTCAATATAATTTGTTTCATTTTTAATCTTGCATATCGTATCTTAGGTATTTAGAAACAGTCATCTGAGAGGGGTTCTATAGGCTTCACTGCCGAAAGGATCCATGCTACCCCCCCCCAAAACCCCCAAACATTAAGAATACTAGAATAAATACATGAAACTTAACTTGACACCATGCAGCTGACAATGACCACAGAATGCTTGGGGAGTGACAGCTCACCAGTCACCATTGCAATGGCCAATCTATCAATGAGAGCATTGATCGAGTACTCTCTGTGTGCAGAGCCTTGAAACAGATGCTGCATCCTGGTAGAGAACTGTTACCCTTTCTCATATTTCTAACCCACATTTCCCAAGTTCCCAGGTACCTTTGTAGCCATATTAAGAAAAGACAAGCTAGATATGAAGCAAATGGACAAGGGGTACAGAAGAAGCATTTACAGCCGGGGGGTGGTTTAGGAAAGGCATGGTCAAGTGACAATTTTGAGAACGCAACAGAAAATTTTAAAAAGGCAAACTCTTTCAGAAAACAATTAGAGATTATCTAAAAACATTTACAAAGCTGGTCACTCCCTTTGATCCAGTGGAATATAAGCTACCTGAGGACAGGGATTATATATTTTGTTTCATTTTTGTATCACTAGTACCTAGCACGATGTCTTGTATCTAACAGCCACTTAGTCAGTACTTACTGGATTGGCTGGGACTTACAGAAAGAAATGACCCACGTGGTTAAAAATATTCGTTATAGAACTAGTTTTAATATAAAAATCTGGGAACAAATTCAATGCCCAAAGATTAAGGAAGGGCTAAACAACTGGTGGTAATATCACCAGTATTAGTAGCAGTACCAGTAGGTGGTACTAGTTTCCAGGGTTGTTGTGAGCATCAAATGAGATGTTAATTGTAAGGCACTTAGCACAGCACCTGGAACATAGTAACCATTAAATAAATGTTAACTATTATTATCACTATTAATGATAAAAAAATAGCTAGCATTTATATAGCATTTTAAGGTTTACAAAGTGCTTTACAAATATTTTCTCATTTTATCCTCCCAACAACCCTGAGAAGTAGTTGCTATAATTATTACCATTTTACAGATGAAGAAACTGAGGCACAGAGTGGTTAAATGACTTGTCCAGGGTCACACAGCAAGTAAATGTCTGAGATTGGATTTGATATATGAGTGAAATGGAATACTCTTGAGCTGTCAGCAAGAGAGCGTATGAAGAATTCAGAGAAACATGGGAAGACAGGTATGAACTGAAGAAATGTGGGAAATAAAAAAGCAAAACTGAAATATCAATGGACACAATGACTACAGACAATGTAAATAAAGGCAACAGCAAAATGCAACAAAACTCCCATTGAGCACAATGGACATTTCTACTTCCAAATGATTAAAGTGCTTGTTCACATTTTTATTTTCTGTTAATAACTGGTAAACCTCAAAAATGGAAAGTAACATGAATTATCAGTTGCAATCACTCCATTAGGTGATATTACAACTTTTTTTTGTTTTTAATTAGGAAGGACCTTTTGGAGATGAGGAAGGGTTTGTTAGAACATTAATCTGAAAGTGAAGTCACTTATTTTTACCTTCTGTTGAGTTTTGTTTCCTCTTTCTGATGGTTCCTCCTATTGGTTTTAATTTTTACTTACAACTTCACTAATGTGAAAATATGTTTAATGGGTATGTAAATGTAAAGCCTGTATCAGATTGTGTGCCGTCTTGGGAAGGGTGGGGGGGGGAGGAAGAGGGAGAAAAATTTTCAACTCAAAAGCATATGGAAGTGATTGCTGATAAATCAAATAAATTAATAAAATTTTAAAAAAAGAAATTAAGCTAATGAAAAAAAAACAATAAAAAACCTAAAGATAAACAAAAGAAAAAAAAAAGAAAGTTCAGGACAGCATTTTGACCTGGAAAACAAATGAGTGGAAGGCAAAAAGGTATGTGATAAGGAATATTTAGATTTCTATTTCTGGAAGTCCTTTCCAATCTAGTCACTGATCACCTTAGTTAAAAAGAGAACTCATGACTAGGACAGAATGTTATCTACACTGTCAATGTGGTCTTGGTATTGGATGTCTAACTGTGGCCCCTTTTCACAAGGAAAGGGGCAGTCAGGAGCTGTGCAGAGTGAATGGAGAAGGCAATGGTTTCCTTCCTAGAAATGAAGGTGAGGTGGGCAGCTTGGTGGCGCTATAGTGTACAGAGTGCTGGACCTGGAGTCAGGAAGACTCATCTTCATGAGTTCAAATCTGTCCTCAGACACTTACCAGCTGTGTGACCCTGGGTAAGTCACTTAACCCTGTTTGCCTCAGTTTCCTCACCTGTAAAACAAGCTGGAGAAGGAAATGGCAAACCCCTCCAGTATCTTTGCCAAGAAAACCCAAAGTGGGGTCACACAGTCAGACACAACTGAAAAATGACTGAATAGAGATAAAAACACATCAGTGAAATGTATTTTTAAGGAATAAATAAATAGAAATAAAAGAAGTCAGGCAGATAAAGGCAAAATTTCTCAAACTATTACTAATGTATGCAACCGTGACTGCCCTCCTCTAAAAGGGCTGTTTGGCCACCTGGGGCCCTGGGGCTTAAGTTCTCTTCCACCATATTTCAATTTCAAGTGGCCTCCTAGGGGGAAACTTGGCAGCTATAACTGCAATAATAAAGGGCAACAGGAAAGTCCTCAAGGATACGGATTCATTTCCTGGTTCTAACATGTCTCCAGCATCCTGGGCAGTTATTTCAAGCTAAAGGAGCAGACCTCTGCCTAGTTGACTAGAGCACAGCGTATACATGGGAAACACCCTCTGTATTGGTTATTCCCAATGGAAAGGTCTATTTTCCTTATATTAAGTGGCAAGATTGAGAAAAATTTCCAAACAATATTTATTTTTAATTTGCTTTAATAAAAAAAAATTAGATGCCACACAGCACTGCTAAGATGGGATGGGAGGGAGAGGCTGTGAATGTCAAATTCGCTACTCTAATTAACCTGGTACAGGCCAATCAGTACCTTTACTGTGCAATTACATGCAAACATAATACCTAACAGTGGTTCATGGGATTGTTGGTTTAAAGCTAGAAGGGACCTCAAAAGTCATCAAATCCAATCCCCTCATTTTACAGATGAGGAACTGGAGGCACAGAGACATTAAATGACTTGCCTAGGGTCACTTAGCCAGGTTTTCCTGACGCCAAGTCCAGAGCTCTATCCACTACACTTCACTGCCCCTCAATACAATAGGAGCTCCTCTGAGATTAGCTCCCTAACCTTTTGAGTTGGAAGACTTTGAAATGTCAAAGAACTTCATATACCTTTTTTTTCAAAATTATAGCATCAGAGAAAAGAGATGATGAAATTACAGTGCTTAGCATGCAAATGGCCTCATGGATCTCTCGTAGTTAACTCACTGATACCCCAAGGATTGTTGGCTCATGAAAAATCTACTGGTCTATTACACACTAAGGGGGAAAAGAAGAGCAGGTAGAAAAAAGAAATAAAAGTTGGCTTCAACTAGACTGTGCCATAACTGGAACATACAATTCACATGCACAACAAATGATTCTCATCAGCTCCCTAAGGAACGTGGGAAAAAATGCCAATTTACTGTGGATTATAAGAGCTGTTGGGAATAAAAGAATTATCAGAATGGGATACAGTTGAGCAGGGAAGACTTCCTAGAAGAGATAAATTTCAAAGGAAGGTACATGGGTTAGCAGAAAAGCAAAAAAAGACTTCAAGTGGATGTAACAGCAGATATGAAAAGATGGGAAGGAGAGATGAGCAAATTGGGTTAGTGCATGCATGCGTATGTGTGTGTGTGACAGAAAGATGTTAGGGTCTTCTAACCTCCAACCCAGGCACTATAGAAAGAATAGGTGTCAGGAAAGAATGATCACAAAGCCATCACTGCCCACCCTTTGGAGCTTTCAGTGTCCAAGATGTTAAGACAGTTTGCCATGTAGCTCAATGCATAAGAATACCCCAGATGAACACAAAGGCACCCAGAAAAAGCCACATAGTAACGAGACCCTGGAAGCTGCCCTGTCTTTTCACAAAGGTTTCATGTGGCTCTCTTCCTTTCTCTCTTTCTGCTTCCATGTTTTGTCTCAGGCAGCAGTTCCTGCTTTCCTGCCTACAGATCACCAACTCTGCCTACCTAATTACAGCAAAAGATAAAGGATACTTCAATTGGCAAATGGCTCTCAATGCTGGAAGGCCTGGAGTCACTGTTCTATAACTCCACCTTCCACCTACCACAGACCTCACTGCCGATGCTGGCCCTGACCATCTGAGGAGTTTCCAGGAGCATCTTTCAGGAAGGGAGGAATGCAGTAGCTACATATGGGTTACTGACTGACAGCCATGCTCACCCTACCTGGAGAACAAAGCTTCACGGAGGATTTGTTTTCACTTATAACAGACTCTCAATTACTCAGGGGAAGAGAGGACTCAGTCTTTTCGCTGGATTATCACTAAGTTATTCCGGAGGAGCTTGTAACTTTGCTCTTTGTTCATTACTAATTAGCAAAAAACCTTTATCAGATGATAAGGAACTACAGGGACAATAAAATATGAATCAATTGGTTTGCCTACTTCTTAGTTCTGTGGGGAGACAGATGAAACCATCGGATTAACAGATTTTTTTTTTTTTTAAGGATTTCACTCACCTGTGTCATCCCTGTTGCTGAACTTCCGGCATCTGGGAGCTGTCTCCGGCTACTCATCACATGATCAGAGGGTTAAATTTCTTACCTTTTCAGTGACTGAGCGGGCACACTCTATCAGCTCCCTCTTGGTGTAACTGTCAGTGGGGCAGACCTGAAGAGCTCCTGCCTTCTGGACGAGGAAGATACAGCCATGGCCGAGATCCTGAACACGGGTCCGGATCTGGAATCCAATCTAAGGAGGAAAACCAGGTTGGGGAGGAATAGAGACATTACAGGCCTTTTCATTTATACCTTCTCATAGCATGGAAAATTTCTCAAGTTATAGGGGAACAAAGCTAGGAAAATTCCACTCCTATTAGGACTCTTGTGAAGTGTGGGAGGGGATACCAGCTAAATTACATTTTACAGATTCCAAAGGTCACCCAGATCCCATAAAGTATGTCTACATTTTGTGGTATTACTTTTCTTCTATTTGTCTTGTATCACATACAACAGGCAGCCAAGGCTGACCCTCGGCAAAGCTGTTAAGCAGTTGGGGACTCTTGCTTTTCTCTTGCTGCTCTTCACCCCATCTTTCCCTTCTGTCACACTACCTTCATGACTCCCCCTTTCTTATCTGGAAGAGTTCTAAGGAAAGACTCAGACATTAATCATTTCCATCTTAAAGTGTGAATATAAATCCAGTGCACAGTGCCTGTTACATAGTAGGGGCCTACATTTCTCTTCCTGAGTCTTTGCATTTTAATCCTAACCTGGGATTATGGAAAGACTTGGTTCTCTGTTGAAGGAATTTCAAGCATAAGCAATTAGTTGAAAGAGCACTGTCTAGGGTACTTTATTAACCTGTACTACACAAGAAAAAAATTAATGTCCATAATCAATAACCTCAAGGCCCTCGAAGATCCTGGAAAGCTTTCATCAAAGGCCCTATGTTCAGCACAGTTTGTGTAAAGCACATTTTATTGTATTCTATTTCTTTGACAACTAGTATTCCTTTCTAGGTATGTTTAATTGGACTATTCGAGTTCCCAACTAATCTGAGAAAGAGAATTTACTATGCCCAAAACGGGTGCTTTAAAAAAACAAAACAGATTTTTTTTTAAAGAAGCATTTGTTAACTAGTATTTATCCCTTAGGGTTGAGTTGGTACAAATTCTTTTAAATGAACTTGTTCTTTGGATAAACAATCCTAAAAGCATCTAGGCTGTGCTCTCCGTGTCTGCAGCCAAATCAGTTTTGCCATGGAGAGCTGCCAGTCATGTGATTTGAGTTATAACAAATAATGCCTCCTACCCTAATTTGCATCCCTCTGGGCCAGCACAAGTCTGTTTCACATCAATTTTTATTTTGGTTTCATCAATAAACCTGTCATAAATAATTGGCTGTCCAGTTCAGCTAGGTAATTTAAAAATTTTTTTCAAAGGATAAAGTCAATATGTTTTATTTTCAGGAATCCATACCAACTAAGACCTGTGGCCTACACCTGAAGAATTCAGCCACCTCACTTTTGAAAACGTCTCTGGAGGCCTGTAATTACACAGGAGCTTGTGCGACCAGTTGGATGGAAGTCATCTTCTCAGATAATCTCATTTACTGGATTAGAGGGAAAGCTCTTTGATGCCAGTTTGACTTTGGAACAGCCATGGTGGAAAAGGTGCTGCTCATCTTACTTCATCAACAGAACACAGATGAAAGTCAGTAGGAAAAAAAAAAGTAAATCTTTTAATTTATGTTTAAGCACATCTATTTGCTGGGATAAGATGGAGGTGGTTTTAAAAATAAGACACTCGAGACAGGAGGCTGTGACATTTTAGATCCAAACCTAACTTGTGTGAGTAATTTCAGATTCACAGTATAGGTAGCCTAGAGCTTTACTAGAAATATTCAGCAGCCTGAAGGGAAGAGTTCTGCAAAGGCCAATGGTACTGAATTGGAAAATTTTAGGGCAGTGTTGAAAAGGAAAAGAGGGGAGGAAGAAGGTGAGGTGGTGACAGAATCTAGACTTTTTAGACTGGAAGGATCTTGGGGATAATCTAGCCCAAGCACATTTATTTTTAAATAAGGAAACTGATTCAGAGGCTAAATGACTTCCTCAAGGTCAAAGCTAGTGAATAAGAAAGCTGGAACCATAAGTCCCAGTCTATAGTGTTCTTTGTACTATTAATGCCCTTCAAGATCATTAATGCAATTCTGAATTGACTAATATTCTGCCTGAATACAGATCTCTGGTGTGAGACGTCATAGGCTCACCATGGTAAGAGCTGCCCAACCCCTCACTGTCACGGAGAAACAAACTCACTTCAAAGTACAAACATCTTTTTACCTCCCAAGGAATTCAATGTCTTGCTACTCTGAAGAAAAATAATCACAGCAAAAAAAGGTTTTATAATTCTTACGCTGTGTGAGTTCAACAAAGTTCACAGGTCTGTACCACTCCCCACTACCCCGACAAAAACAAAAATTAGAACTGGCCATATTTAGCAGACAAAGCAAAATTCTAGTTAGGCAGGTCCCAAGATAGCAGGTGACCAAGCAAAGAAAATGGCTGGGCTAAAATAATAGATACGAAATCCTTTAAGAGGAAGTATAAGCTCAAGGTATTAATGTTGGGGTGAGATCAGTAATTCATTTTTAGACTCCAAAATTCCTGAGGCCCGCTGTTGATGAAAATTTCATATCTATTCATTGTGCTACCCCATTAGGATGATATTTATAATGTCAATAATAATAATTTAGTAATAATATTATTATTATTGAAGAGTTTCCTCCGCCAGAGAAATCACAGTGCTGAATAACAATGATGATGATGACTTGCATAGCACTTTCAGGTTTGTAAAGCATTTTTCTGACAATAACCCTGTGAGATTGGTAGTGTAAATATTAACACACCCATTTTACAGATAATGAAACCAAGGCTATGAAGGGTTAAGTGACTTTCCATAGTTACACAGCTAAAGTGTCACAACTGAGGCAGGATTAAATCCATTAATTAATCAATTAATTAAGTCCATTAAGGATTGAGTCCATATTCTAAACGTAATACTCCTTCCACTACATAAAGTTCAGACCGTCTCAAGAGTCAGTTTCAGAATGAAAGTGGCTACCCCTGGATACTTTTCATGTTTGTTAAGCATGGGGATATGTAACAAGTGGAAGAGGGTGCCAAAGGTCCTTCATGCCTCGCCCCTGGCGTTTATTTAAATCTCATAGACTTGAGCAATGCCACACCATGTATTGATTCAGGAAAAGTCCTACAGCTATTGTGAGAATAAAATATTATGTCTAAAGTACTTTACAAATCTTAAAGTACTTTAAAGGTACTTTAAAAAGCACATCTAAATGCTAGCTATTATTACTAGAGGGGAGTGGATTAGGCCAACAGTTCTCAAAGTCTGGTTCATGGACCCATGGGCATGGACTTTCAGGGCAACCATGAGGTCAAAACTACATAATAATATTAAGATGTTATTTGCCTATTAAAAATACATATCCCTTTTTCAGCTGAATATCTGTGTGAAGCCATATTTTCATTATATACTTCTACCAAAATAACATACTACAGCAAATTGAATGCAGAAGCATACATGACAATTCAGCTGTCTTCTATTAAACCAGACATTAAGAGATTTGCAAAAATATGTAAAACAATGCCACTCTTCTTGGTATTTTTTGTTTTGGAAAATACAGGCTTTTTTCATTAAAATGTTATTTATGTTAACATGTAATAGATTTAAAATTTATTTTAAAATGAATTATAGGAAATGAATTTTAACTTAATTTATAATATGGTAAATATTGATAGATTATAACCAGTGGTGTGCTGGAGCAGCTCGAACTAGCTCGTGAGAGCAGACTGTTAAACTTTCAGTTTGAGCATTTACGCTTTGTACATCAGCAAATGCTACAAATAAGGGCTTGGTTGATTGTTGAGACTTACGAAAGTGAGAGAGAAAATGTTAATAAAGGAGATTAAACTTAAAAGCGTATCATGCACACATGCAGGGTGTTTCTCTCTGCCCCGTCCCGCCCTGAGAGAGCTGGTTATTAAACATTTACTAACACACCACTAAATGTAACCCACGTAAGCAAAGGCTTTTTGGGATCCTTAAAGAATGTTAAAGGGGCCTAATAACAGAAAGTCTGAGAGCTGCTGGATTAGACAATTTCCAAGATAACATTCAGCTTTGAATTCTGTGATGCTGTGATGTGAACAAGTAGGTAACTCACTGCTTTTGCTCGCTGCATGTTTCAGTAGAAAAATACCGAATCATTATTCTAGAGTTAAGGCGGCTAGGTAGTGCACAGGGCTAGCTAGTGGATAGAATGCTGGGCCTAGAGTCAGGAAGATTCTTCTTCCTGAGTTCAAGTTTGGCCTCAGACACTGTCTGTGTGACCCTGGACAAGTCACTTAATCCTGTCTGCCTCAGTTTCCTCATCTGTAAAATGAGCTGGAGAAGGAAATGGAAAACCATTCCATCATTTTTGCCAAGAAAACCTCAAATGTGGTCACAAAGAGTCAGATACGACTGAAAACAACTCAACAACAACAATCCTAGTATTAGATGTCCTAAGTTGAGTCCTGGCTCAACCACTTAGTAGCTTATGGCCTTGGGCAAACCACTTCCTATCCAAACCTATTCCTATCCTAGCCTTAATTTGCCCATTTGTAAAATGAAAGGGTTGGGATAGCTAGGTGGTATAGTGGATAGAGCACCAGCCCTGGAGTCAGAAGGACCTGAGTTCAAATTTAGCCTCAAACGCTTACTAGCTGTGTAACCCTGGGCAAGTCACTCAACTCTAATTGCCTCCAAAAAAAAAAAAAAAAGAAGGGGGCTGGTGTGGACGGCCTCTGAGGTCTCTTCTAGCTATTCTTAATATAGAATAGAGTATTCTTAATACAGAATCTTAAGATTCTATGATCTTAACAATGAAGTGTTAGAAAAAAAATTAGCAGCTTTAGTAATATATTTGCTTGCAGAAATTAAGGTGAGAAAACCCAAAACCCTCCACTCTTCTTCCATCAACAAAAACAGAAAAGAGAATGTTGTATCCCAATTAAATTGCTTCTTAGGCCCCTGTAGATTAAATTAAAAGTTCAGTCTTTATGGGATTCTAAATCAAATTCTACTTGTTGAGAGAAACACATGATCATTTCCCTTAATGAATACAACCAAACAAATGAACTTTTTTTCTCATGCTATTTTTTTTAAGATAGCAAATTTATATTTGGAACAAGATTAAACAAAAATTTTACTCCCACAAGGATAGTGCTTGGAAGATTATAAGCTAGCAAGAGCCAGGGTGATGAGGGTAGAAGGTATTTTGTAAATGTTAACTACAGTGTTCTTTGTAGGAGGAGTGTGTGGGGTAAAGAACACTTGGAAAGGAGTCAGGAGACTTGAGTTTGAATCCTGGTTCTTATAATGATTGATGTGACCTTGGTCAAGCCACTTCACTTCTGCAGGCCTCAGTTTCCTTCTTTGTAAGATGAAGAGACTGCACAGATGACCAGCGCTGAAGTCTTACATAATTCTAAATTTATGAACCTACAGCCATGGTCTGTCACTCAACCTTTCTGAGACTCATCCGTAAGATGGGAATAATAACAATACCTGAGAATTGCCTCTCTTGTAGGGTTCCTGTCGGGCAAATGCAGTGCAGTGGATCTGACTGTTAGAGAGGCAGTCTGATATTAGAATCTGAGCTCTTTGAGGGTGGGGATTCTTTCATTCTTTGTCATGCTATCCCCAGCATCTTTCGTGATGCTTATCTGGCACACAGTAGGCATTTAATAAATGCTTGTTGATCTTAATAAAAAGTGCTGGTTGTCATTAGTAGCTGTGTGACCCTGACCAAATAACTTAGCTCTTTTGAGGCAGTTTCTTTAGTTGCAAAACAGGAATAATAATTGTACTATGTACCTCACAGAGTTTAAATAAGGCTCAAAAAAAAAAGTGATTTATGTAGGACATCGTTACTGTAACTTCTTTTAAGGCTCCAAGCAGGGGTTCCTAATCTGAGGTCTGTGAACTTTTTAAAGAAATATTTTGATAACTGTATTCCATTGTAATTGGTTTTCTCGGTAGTCCTATGTATTTTTTTTTTCTGCATTTAAAAACATTATTCTAAGAAGGGGTCCATTGGCTTCACCAAACTACCAGAGGGATCCATGACATACAAAAAGTTAAGAACCCTTTCTCTAAAGATAGAGAAATTGATGGAAACGGGCAAAGTATGTATGAAGGACAGAAATAATTAATTACTTTCACAATTGTTAGTGAAGGATCTTAGAGCAAGAACTTGTAAAGAATTCTACTGCTAATATCCTGCTCATTTTGGGGAAGAGGAGCTAAAGGAAACCTAAGTGTCTGCTTTTAATACACTGAACACCAAAACACTGCTAGTTATCCTGAGGTGGCAAAGAGGTTCTCACTGTGATATTCTGAAGTAAACATGAATTTTCCACTGAAAATCAAGAGGGTAAAGCTTCCTTTTGGTGCCTAAAAGACCACTCTATTTCATTTGGTTTGATATAGTCACAGAATGGGGCAGAATGTTGACTCTGCAAAGTATGTCTTAGGGCTCTGAAGAATGGGGTTCTGGTGCTGTTTATTTGGATTGGATTTAAATGTTTAAGGGCCCTCTTAGGCACATGAATGTTTCCCAGTTCTTGGGAGGAATGGGGCAGAATGTTGACTCTGCAAAGCATGTCTTAGGGCTCTGAAGAATGGGGTTCTGGTGCTGTTTATTTGGATTGGATTTAAATGTTTAAGGGCCCTCTTAGGCACATGAATGTTTCCCAGTTCTTGGGAACAAAAAGCAGTGCGGCTTCAGGGATCTCCTAGCCTCCGCCCTTTATTGTGTCTGGCAAGCATGCACAAGGAATTTCCCTTAGCAAACCACTGGTAGTATTATATTCCTACGCCCAACTTCTTTTCACTCCAGGTTACATTGTTCTTTTGTCTGGAATGCAAAACGCAACCCAAGATGTGATGGTGAAAAAACAACAAAATGAAAAGTTAATGAAAACATCAGCCTCTATAAACCAAAAAATATTTGAGAGATCAGTATCTAGAGTAATTTGCAGCTGTGTTTTTAGCAGATAATTTCCTTTCCTGACTTTTTCATTACTATATATTTTGCTTTTGCCTACATTACAATAAAAAATTCTGTTCATTTTTTACAGAGGGTGGGTGGTTTGTACACTCTTAAGACTACAAAAGACCCCATAGTTTATATGGTCTACAATCCAATGCCTCAGAAAGATCAACACCTAAGCTAACCAAGAGAGATGGTGACTGATACGTGCTTTTAAAGGTCTTTGGGGAGAGATGTTTTAAAACTCTTTGAGCAATAATATAATGGCTCAGACTCACATGGTGTTTTAAAGCTTACAAAATGGAGTTATGTATCCCAGGTAGTATTAGCCCCATTTAAAAAATGATAAAAACTGAGGCTCATAGAGATTAAGTGATTTGTCCACAGTCTCACAGCTAGGACAAGCAGGAGGCAGGCCTCCAGGCCAGATCTTCTGACTCCAAGTTCAACATTCCTTCTACTCTACCATACTGCTACTTACCACTTTCAACATTAAATTCCTTTTCAAGTATGGTAGTTCTTTCTTTTGCTTAGTCAAGTCCTCTCTTACTGCAATGTAAAAATTCTTTTTGCTTTATGAAAGTCAAACATATTATGTTCTGAAGACAGGCCACTTTTTCTTAAAATAATTAGCCTTCAGAGTAGAAGCATCAACAGAAGTTTCATGCATAAATTTGGAATCAGTTTGATCTTGGTACTGACTTGAATCACTGATTCATACTAGCAGGGCTCTTAATGGTGGGAGTTGGCAGGCCTGAGGGACTTATATTAATGTTATCCTGCTGTAGTTTAACATACGAAAACTTATGTTGAAATACCAAAATTCAAGATTGTGGCTCCTAGAACCTTGGGTTCAGTTGATTTTTTATATTATACAAATTATATACAATACATATAAATAATAAAGAAATTGGAGTGTACTGGACATGATTACAGTGCAATGAGGAACTTCTAAAGAAGAGAATGTCTACCAATGCCACTTCGCACATTCTGTATTTTTTTTTAAATGAATATGAGTTTCCTGGGTCACTGGTTAAGTGACTTGCCCAGGGTTAGTCAGGAGGTGATCAGAGGTGGAATCTGAACTCAGGTCTTCCTGACCCTGAGGCTGGCTTCTTAGCCACTAAGCCCTTAGTTCTCAAAGTGAGGTCTTGGGACCTTCCTTTTTGGGGGGTCCATGAGGCCAAAATTATTTTTGTATTAACAAAATTACTTTTGCATTAATGCTAAAAGGTTTTAATTTATAATATGGTGAATATCAATTGAGACAGCCCACATCAACAAAAACTCTTCGGAGGGGGTCCTCAGTTTTTAAGAGAGTTAAAGTGGTCCTGAGACCAAGAAGTTGGAAAACTGCTGGATTATGACATGCGCTGCTTCTCCATGCTTACACAAATATAATTACATGCCATTATCATGCCATACATTAGACAGCAACTTTTATGTTTCTTTCTGAAGCATGTTCAGGTATCTAAGTTAACATACTAAAAAAAAAAAACAAATGGGAAGAAATGCCAGTATTTAGTAATTTAAGGGATACTAACCTTAACCATAAAGGCAAAAGGAAAAATAATTCACAGTCTTCTGCCTCAGGAATGTAGTTAGTTACTTTCATCTTCCCAATGACAACTGTAATCTACACCATTTTGTTATATTATAGGTTTAGAATATTTTCCCTGAAATATGTCTAACATGATTATACATGTATAACCTATATCAGATTACTTGCTGTCTTGGGGAGGAGGGAGAGAGAAAAAGTTTGGAACTCAAAATTTCACAAAAATGAATACTGAAAACTATCTTCACGTGTAATTGGGGAAAAACACTTTTAAGGGGAAAAAAGAGAATATTTTCCCTTCTGGGAACAAGACTGTCAGGGCAAACTACTGCCAGGCTTTACCTCCCAAAATTCTGTGGATCTTTTCCCTGTAAAAGTCTGGTCTATCTTCATTTTCCTAAAGGATCCTACCACCTAAGGCAATCATTGAATCATCCAATTAGATTCTACATGTCTGGAATGAGAAGTACACGGATTTCATACCGGGCCAGATGTTTCCCTATTTATCTTATGCGCTGTTCATGGAGATTCCTGTGAGTACAGCCACCGTAGGGGTGACTTCTAAGATGGTTAGGGAAGACATTTGACCAAATATCCAGAAATCCAAGTTATAGTTAGGCTCTGATGGGGAGATGCACATGGCTGCCTTGAATCTGGGGTGGGGGAGGTGGGGTGTGAGATTTGGCTGAGAATAAAGAACAAATCAGACGGAAGCCAAAATTTAGATATTGATTAAGAGATAAAGGGGGAGCCCCCATAAGGCACAGAATGCAGGTCTGATCTGGATTTTAGAAACAGCACAGTCAGTGACTTTGGTGGCAACTTGTTCAGAGAAAGTAGGTCGCACATAGCTGGGAGTGGCTAAACTCCATCACTCGGGGCTGTATCATAGGTTTCTTTAGCTGTTCTATTGAAGAGGGGTCTGCCATATTTTGTTAGCTCCAGATGTCAGAATTGGGAGATACAGGAAGAAGCTGCAAAGGGCCAAGTTTGGGCTTGATATCAGGAAAAACTTCCTGATTATAACAGACCTCTTCTATCTGGGAGTTTATAGGCTATACTCACTTTACCACGGTCTTAGGAGGTCCAAGAGTGGGGCAATCTATTTCTCCAACCAGGTGGTCAGAAAGGAAATCAGGCTTAGGGAACTCCTGCAGCTGTTTTGTCCAAGACCCAGGGGGAAAGAATGGGGAGAAATAAACCTGGCTTTGACTATGTGGCACCTGTCTCATAGAATGAAACTGAGCTGTGAAGAGTAATCTGGGTAAAAATATCAGTGTGCGTTCACTAGTTAAAGCAGAGGTCTTAAGATGGCAGACCTCTTCTGGTTCAGCTGTAGCTGCTGCCATCTGGCCCTGGAAAGCCAAATGCCCATAGTCACTGGTCATTTGTGAAGCAAGTCCTCCCAACTCCTCCGGGTTAGTAACCGACTTAGTCATCTGGAAAAAGAAAACAAGCAAGACACACAAACACACATATAAAAAATGCATAAGAATAATGGGTTAATACCACTTGGGAGCCAAATGATCTTCTTTTTTAACCCTGCAACAGGTACATTAGGGTTACGGTTTCTGAAGAGAACTGTGTGCAAAGCCAAACCCAGACAGACATGCTTTGTTTCCTTTCCCTCTACCCCATGGCTGCTCTCCCCTTAGGCCAGCAGGCACAGGGCTGGGGGAGGCTGCACAGCTAGCATGCTCAGCATTGGGAATGTGCAAAGAGAACAGGCCAGGCTTTCCGTTTCTTCAGCATAACCCACTCAGCCTGGCTCAAGGACGACGCGACCATGATCAGCAGCAGCCAGCTAGCTTCTCCTGCCAGCCCAGTAACACAAGGTGGAAATCCACACTCGGAGGGATGTGCAAGGGAACGCATGGGCACGTGCCAAACACTCACTTCCTTCTCTGCCCCCTAATTCCTCTCCCCCAGCCACCAGAGGCTGTTCCACTATTGGCTCAATTCTAGAAGTGTCCGGCCTTTTCAGTATCCGGTTGATTGCTATTCCATAGGAATAATGGGGGAACAGCACAGAGCTGGGCTAGCTATGGGCCTTGACAAACTTCCATGAGCCCAGTGGGGTTTAGACTTCTTATTTTGGTCAGGTATCACGCTGGGCATGAGAAAAGGAGGGGCAAGGAAATAAAGCACAAGACAAATATGTGTTCTGGGGGAAAAAAACCCAAACCTAAAACAGTTCTAGGCCTGAAGAATTGGGGGGAAATAAGACTTCTGACATGAATTAAGGAGAGAGCTTAAAGCAACAAACCAAAATGGTCAAATTCCACTGTTTTGCATCAAGAGGAGTAAGAGTTTTCTTCCAAGTTACTTCCTTTACAGAAAAACTTCACTACAATTTGCTCAGCTTAAATGAGTTTCTAGTTACTCCCCTTCCAAATTCCTTCTATTTCCCCCCAAATATTGTTTTAGTAAAACCTCCCAGAAATGACCTTTCATTCCCCTTTCCAGAAGGAAAAGTTGCTTTCCCCTACATTCTTTTTTCCCCTTTTAGTTTTAGAGATGACAGCCATCCTTCCGTGGTATAAATAATAAAATCCTTAAGCAAGAGAAGCTGTATAGGATTCTGCTTTTGGAGCTTAACATATGTTTATACAAAAATGATTGCTAGGTTTCAGACCTACCATGTGGGTCACCAGGAAATGAACATTAGGCCCAAAATGGAACAAGGGGAGCCAAAGAGTTGCTTCATTTCTCTGCGTCAAAATGAAACACAATGACTTGGGGGCTAACCCTAAGGCATATGGCTATAATTTTCTGGAAATTCAAAAAAGTATTTGCACCAGCTGTCTCATAAGTGGGGATTAAGCACAAAGCTAGGGCTTCATCAAGATCACAGACATTAAGAGTTAAGTCAAGTCAACATGGCACTCTGGCCAGGGAGATACTGCAGGGACATTTGGGGGACAGGCAAAACCCTTTAACTAGTTAGCAAAACCAATTCCCATAGTTTATTGTGATTCTCTCCAAAAGTCAAGCTTGAGTACTGTCTGAACCAACTTATATTCTGTCAAACACATCACTCCCATGAGAATCACCACCTCTGGCCTTGATTCCCAAATGTTTTCCATTACGTTAGGTTGTACACTGCCCCTCCTTCCTACCCTAAGGAAAAAAGACCAGGCAGGGCTGTGAACTGAGCAGCCAGAGGGAGGGGAAACACTTTGTTGGTCTTAGGTCAGCCTCTAGTGGACAGAAGTTCACATGACAAAGTCTTTTGGATATGGGACCTTGGACCTTATGGAAGACCAGGGCGAGGTTAAGAGAATGCTTTGGGTCTGGCTACGAAAAGATGCTGGATGCCCAAGTGTGGCTTATGTATCAAGCAAATAAAAGGGCATGTGATAGATATAACTGATTAAATGTAACTTAAACCCAGCATCTAGACTGTCAGTCATATCTTCATTGGTTGGATATAACTCTGTTCCTGCATATAGTCTTATTTATTTTATTTAAACAGCAGTCACTTATCTTTTATAAAATCAAGGTCTACTTTTATGAAACCATTTTCTATTAGGTTACTCAGCTGTCCTTTATCTAAGGACCTAGATGATTAATTTCATCTTGAGTTTAGTTCCAGGAAAAGTTTCATCTCAACAGATGTGTTTTGTCTCATCAAAAACAAAAAACAAAACTACAAAGTTTTCCTTTTTTGCCTTAGTTGACAAAAACAAAACAAAACAAAACAGTAAAATTTATTCCACAAGGGTAGTAATCTGCTTAATTCAGGTACCAGAAAAATCTATTTCTTCTGCTTCCTTAATTTCCCTTTCTTCTTCTCTTTGCTTCCTGGCACATAGTATGCCTAATAAATAATAAATAAATGCTCGCTGCCTGACTTCCTCCACCTTCCTTCCTTTGTTCACATCTCTCTTTCCTTTCCATGCCCATACCATAGCTTTCTCTAACTCTGGTTTGGGGAATTTGTTTCCATACAGGATTAACTCCAGAACAACAGGACTTGGTTCTCTAGAACAAAGGTGTTAAACTCATGGGCTTGGGCTGCCTCACAAAACTCCTGAGTGGGAGGGCATGTGGCCTGAAATATTAAGATGTAATTGGGAAGTGTTTAACAAAATAAATAAAAATTCAATGTAGATAATGTTAAATGGTAGTTTTCTAAGTCAATATGTGGCCAATAGGGATCTGTTTCTACTTGAGTTTCATACCACTGTTCCAGAGCACCAAGTAGCTAGAAGGTCAGCAGATACCTGCCATGAATTGTGTCTTTGCTGGTTAACCTGCCCCCACACCCCCAAAAAGAAAAAAAACTACCTGGAGAAACGCACTCCCTCTGCCTTCCCAATATGGAAGCAGGCTTTGGTGATTGGGTGGTGAAGAGTAGGGAATTAAAAATAAACAAATCCAACAGTGCTTTCCCCACTTACCATTTCTTGTGCAGTTATAGCAATGGCTTTGGAATATTTCACCACTGTTGTCTGGTAGTCAACAAAAGTTCCCTTTGGTTCTGGAGGAGTGCCTTCATCCAGCTAGAGTGAGTGGAAAGTACTTTAATTTAATGATTATCATCATTATGAGAAAATTTTATTTCTGTTAGGACACAGAATTACAGAATCATACCACAATGCCCTAAATGGAACCATAAGTGATCCCAATAGTTTTATTAGTAACTGCCCTTGAGGGCATTTTAGACAAATAACGTATGAGAATGAAGCTCAGTTTGTACAAGGATACATGAGGTTTGTGAAAGGAGATACTGAAGATAATGATATTTAAGCACTATCCCTTCCTGCAAAAATCTTAATGGTCTCCTTAGTACTGAATGCCCACCTTTAAGGACAGGAGAAAAAAAGCCAGTGAAAAAGAGAGGTTAGAGAGGTAGAAGAAGAGCTGTTTATAAGAATATTATAGACCCCTAGACAAAATCAATAGAAGTGAGGAAAGAGTGTGGTCAAATTATGGACAGCATTGAAAAACTAAGCAGAACACAGATTTGACAAGGTAGGCAGTGGAGGGCGGGGGGAAGCATTATGGGCTCTTAAGCAAGGAAGTAACAAGATGTGAGTAGTGTTTTCAGATGGTTAATTTGGCATCTGTGTGCAGGATGGGTTTGATGTAGGAAGAAAGTGGAAGCAAAAAAAGCATTTAGGAGCTCATTAGATAGAAGGCATTAATTAGTGCTGTTATTTAATGAGGAATAAAACATGGCAGTAAAGAACACTGCAAACATGTGGTATAATAGAGAGTATATAATCATCATGACTACTTGGAATGTAATCATTACTAATGACATCAACATCAACTCCAGCTGGACCATCCATTTCCCTTTCAGAAAATGGAGACATCGCCAAATAGCTCTATTGCTGACTCATTGCAATGTGTGAAGAATAAGACATGAGCCTAATGCAGTTTAATCACTCAAAGTGGGCATAACAACACAGCAATGGGATTGCTTATATTATTAAATGCTGAAATATTCTGTTAAGAGAAACTTTATAAATTATTCTCACATTCCAGTGATATTAATTTAATAAGAAAATTGCAGCACCAGGTTCCATCCTTTCTCCCATCCTTACAAAAAATAATAGAAATTTATGTGACAGTCTGGAATTACATCACTAGATTTTAATAAATAAAATGACTCAAATGAAACATACATAAAAATATACATATATATACACATGTGTATATGTATATATATGCATTTACATATACATACACACACATACATATACATACCCTTTGACTATGTCTATCTAACCAGTTTCAAAAATTCAATAACACTACAGACTAAAGGGCAAAGCTCTCCTTTATGAACATGACAGGTCTGAGGGACACCAAAAGTCACCCCCTCCTCTAATCTTCACAACCAATGAATGAAATTATCACCCTTAAAGTTAGCGCATTGGATTAAGGCTTCATGTCCCGGTCCCATTTAAACGCCAGTATTACCCTGACTTAACCAATTGGCAACAGACACGATTCTGAGTCCTGATGATGTCCGAATTCAGAGACAGAACGTTAGCCCAGCAGACTATAATCTATGCACGAAGTATGGCAGATCAATGATTTCAGTCCTTTACTATAGCCAACTTCAGATACTGCAAACATTTCTAAGTTCATATTTTGTCAAGCTGACCACTGTTATATTTTAAACACTGATTTTTTTTTTTTACCAAGCAACACAAAACCAGGGCTTTTATGACTATATAAAACACTGACGTAAATTCCTTTTTTCCTTACAGGTGTCCAAATTTCCTTATGATATTACTCACTGAAAGGATTCACTTATACTGATGTTGGTGGGAGTTGCTTTGTTGTTCTCTCCCAGTGAAAAGGTTGTTTTAAATGTGCATAGGGGGAATCAGCAAACGTTTGTGACGATATTAGCATGTCCTACTCCAATAATATCAGACAAAACCAGACTTTCCCCAAGCTTGCTGGTTACTCCCTCATTCTTTCACAGGTTCCTGGGTCCATAAAATAGCCAATATATTTCTGACATTAGATAGTAGAAATTATATCAATAAAGGGCTCAGTTAAAAAGACTGATTTAGCTAGATAACAAATTATGAAAAGATTAAAATTATCTTTTTCATTTCTCAGAAATTTATGAAATCTTTCTTTTAATCACTGCAGAGCTGCCAACGTTTGAAATCTTAGAGGTTCGGTGAAGAAATAAACAGATATTTAATGCTATACTCCTAAATGCCATTCCAATATATATACATGGTATATATACTGGGTACTGTCAGTGCTTAGTACCATGGAAAGCTTATCAGAGCACTCGGGGCCCCTGGGAAGAAGAATATCATACTAAATTTCTGCAAAACTGACCACCTTTAAAGCAAGAGACCAACTCAAAACTCCAGAAGGGTAAATAAGTGCTTTGACAAGACATGCAAGTGAGGTCCTCAAAAGGAACTGTAACACCCTAATTCACGCATATTACTTTGTCTGAACTATCATGAATAATTACCACACAATGTTTAAGGATAATTATTCTAATTATAGTGCTATTCCGTTTCAGGGTATATCCACTTTTTGATACAATAGTGACAAATCTTCTCTAAATTAGCTATTAATGGCCACTTATTATCCTGAAAATCTTAACGCACTCAATTGGATGTTTCAAGACAAGACTTCCATTACAGTCGCCTAAATTCCTTGGTTATGATATCACTCGGTGGCAATTAGATGTAGATGAACAATTGTTAGGACTAATGAATGTCAACCTGACACACCAATGTAAGGGCTACTTTCTGGGAATCAGTAGGAGATACGAGTCTCTGAGTAGACTCTCCACCTAACCATCAACTCAACTATCATCATTTTCCCTTATGTCACTATTCCTAATGTGAATATGATGATCCACTGGAAAAAGATGAAGATGTTTACAAAGGGAAGAATGAGCTCTGTTGGATATGTGATCTGAAAACAATACCACTGAGTTGCAATCAGCAATGAGAAGCTGGACGTTTCCAAAGGAAAAGTGTCTGAGGGTAAGAACAAAAGAAATACAAGGGAAATTAATGAGAATAATGATAAGCACATTTATATAGTGTTTACTATGTGCCAGGCACTGTCGTAATCGCCCCACAAACATTATCACAGTTGGTCCACATCAACCCTAGGAGATTGTCATTATCCCCATTTTATGGCAGAGGAAACTGAGGGAAACAGAGGTTACATGAATTGCCCAAGGTAATACAGCTGATATGTGTCTGAGGCTGGATCTGAACTTTGTTGTTGTAGTTCTTCAGTTGTTTCAGTCATGTCTGATTCTTTGTGACCCCATATGGGGTTTTCTTGGGCAAAGATACTGGAGGGGTTTGCCATTTCCTTCTCCAGCTCATTTTTCAGATGAGGAAACTGAGGGATGGTTAAGTGACTTGCCCAGGGCCACACAGCTAGTAAGTGTCTGGGGCTTGATTTGAAGTTAGGTCTTCCTAACTCCAGGCTCAGGCTCTATCCAATGCACCACCTAGTTGTCTCTAATCAAGAATCAAAAAAGGATGATGAGGGTCAGATCGGTGACACAATGGATAGAGTACCGGAATCAGGAGGACCTCAGTTCAAATCTGACCTCAGATACTCGACACTTAGTAGCTATGTGACCCTAGGCAAGTCACTTAACCCAGACTGCTTCATCAAAATGAAAAAAAGAGAGAGAGAGAGAGAGAGAGAGAGAGAGAGAGAGAGAGAGAGAGAGAGAGAGAGAAAGAGAGAGAGAGAGAGAGAGAGAGAGAGAGAGAGAGAGAGAGAGAGAGAGAGAGAGAGAGAAAGAGAGAAATAAAGGATGATGAGCTAGCTTCCTGAAATAAAAAGAACCCACCTTGCTCATGGCTTCTGCAATTGCATCCACCATTCCTCCCACCATTCCAACTTCACTGGCAGCTTCATTCAAGGTGACCATAATATCATCCACAGCTTCCTTCATCAGCTGGGCGGCCTCTGTGATGGCATCATGGGTGTGCTGTGCCTAGGAAGAGACAGGAAAAGGACAGAAAAGGTGTTTAGATTGCAAAATGATTTCTTCTCTAAGAACAGCCTTAAGGATCATAGCCTTAAGTTCATAGGATTGTAGATTTAGAGCGGGAAGGGACCTTAGAGATGTCAAAGACTCAAAGACTTATTCAACATCAAACAGGTGGTAAGGAGCAGTGTCAGGAATCGCACTCAGGTCCGTGTGCTCTATCCACTTTCCACAATGCGTCACTACCTTCCCTTTGAGAGAGGCCAGGCTTCCACGACAGCCATGACAGCTAGCTGCTGCTATTCCAGCATGGTATAACTCCTCACCACAGTCAATCTACGTCAGTGGGTGCAGGGGTTTAGGTGCTTACATCTGATGAACAAGAAGTATGACACAGCTAATTACATAAGCTACTTTGCTAGTCGCTCCTCAAAGAACTAGACAACTATGAAATACATCAGTTTTATGGGGTTTTCAACAAATGTATGAAATATCTGGGTGCAGCTGTTTTCTTTCATATTCCCTAACATGCTGTCATCTCTGCACAAGAGTCAGCAAAGTCAATGAATATGTTTAGTGTTTATTGTATGCAAAGGGAAAATAGATCAAGAGAAAGTAACTGCAAAAAAAACATCTTCGGGGATTTGTCAAAATATCATATCGTTATATTTGGATGGTATAGCATGATGTAATAGAGAGAATTCCAGACTTGGAGCCAGGACGTTGTTCAGCTGTGTCCAACTATTCATGACCCTGTGGACCACAACATGCCAATACTGTCCATGGGCAAAGATACTGGAGTGCTTTGCAATTTCTTTCTCCAGTGGATTAAAGCAAACAGAGGTTATGTGACTTGCCCAGGGTGACACAGCTAGTAAGTACCTGGGGCTGGATTTGATATCTAGTCTTCCTGACCCAGGCCTAGCACTCTATTCATTAAGCCACCTGGCTGCCTTCAAGAAAACCAGAGTTCAATTCTGACTCTGTCACTGATTATTTGTTTGAACTTGGACAAGTCATTCTGAACCTTTTTCTTTATCTGTATAATAAGATAATTAGGCTACATGAAAGGATCAAATGAGGAATATTTGTATAGTGCTTAACACAGCGTCCGTCACATATTTCCTTTCCATCTAAGAATAATCAAATCTAAGGACCAGAGTGAATGTGGCTGGGATTTATGTAGCAAAGGAAGGGTCCTTGGTTTAAGAACCATTACAATTCAGAGAAGAACTTGGATCTTGGCTGGGCTACTAGCCTTGGATGGTTCTTAGTATCTGACAGGCACAAAATCACATAGCCGAGGTGTGATCATACCCCAGATGATTTGGGGTAGCATATGCATTTGGCTACTAACCAATATGATTAATATTGGCTAATAATCATGTTTATGATTAATATTCTTGCTGAAGACTCCCTGGTGCCTGAGAGGCCCTGGCACAAACAGAGGTGGCAAGTAGAGGCACCACTATGGAATCTAATAAGGGATGTAACTTAATGGGGAAATAAAGCAATCCAAGTCATCTTCTGATGGTCTCATTGTGATGCAGTGATTCAGTAGAGCAGAGTTAGCTTGGACAAGTTCACCATGCTAAAAAGACCTACCTAAGCCATGGACTTCATATCTGTCAAATGAGGACCAGCCAAGCTAAGTTCAGAGACCCATCACTAGAAAGTCAGTCATTAGGTGATCAATTATTTTTGGCCAAAGAGACTCACAGAAACCATCTGCTAAGGTGTAAAGGGGGAGTGGCCTACCTTTATGGAGGGATGAAATGAGGGATCCTTGAAATACTGAAGAAATAGAATGTACTACTGATAGTTGGGATGGGGAACCTGTAGCCTCGAGGCCACCTGTAGCCTTCTAAGTCTTGGGTGTGGCTTTTAGACAGTCTAAATTTTACAGAACAAATCCTTCTATCAAGGGCATTTGTTCAGTTAAGTTTGGATTCAGTCAAAGGGCCACACTTGAAGACCTAACTTTAGAATGATAATCACTGGGAAAACTGATTTTTCCAGAAATTTATATTACAAACTGTTTTCCTGGGACATGTCTATCTTATGAGAAGTCCTCCTGTATTTACACACAAATACCTGTAAGGTTTCTCATTTTTCAATCATCTGAAAATATCAGGATTTCTGTCCTTACTCTACAACATCAGAGAGGTCAAATAAAAAAAAAAGGTACTGAATGAAGTGGAACAAATTCATATTTGAAGAGCTACATTTTATAATTAGTACTTATTAACAGCACCAAAGGAGAGAGACTTTTGTGTTTAAATAACACCTCTTGGGTGAGATTTTCCAAATGCTTTATGAATAATAATTTGCCCTATTTTACAGATGGGGAATCAACAACAGGCCTGCGCAAGACCTACATTCTAATAACTTCTCAGAAATGGGAATGCAGCACAAGACTTTGAGATCGGTGCCCTGGTACTTTACTCCATTCTGATGAGATGAGGGTGGAAGGTTTGACCAGCAAGAAGCAGGAGCAGCAGCAGCAGCAACTTTCCCAAAAGAATAGGGATTCATTATTCACAAAAACAGTTTCCTCAGAACAGTCCTACACAGATAGTTATTGCAAGTATTATGCAGTGAAGGAAGCCGATTTCAATACAGTACTACCTAGTAAATATCAGAGTTGGGACTTGAATCCAGGACCTCAGACTTCAAGCCCAAAGACTTTTTTATTATGCCTAACTTCCTCTTCTAAGATTTGTTCTGATGCTTAGCTAAGTTGGATAACTTTTAAATAAGGAACATTGGTTATAAAGGGAGAAAGAGTGATACAGGGCTTCAGAATTGGAGAGATCTACCTTCAAATCTCACCCCTGACCCATACTACCCATGTGAGCCTGGGCAGGACACATAATTTTTTTGTGCCCCAGGTAAGTCTCTATAGCTGTAAACTGCAGAAGAGGTGCTCAGTGGCATTAGTACAGGAGGTTTCCTCATTGGGAGTTACCCATACTCATGAAATCATTGGTCCAGGAGTCCCAAAAAGAGAAATGAGTAAAAGAATGCATGCAGTTAGAGCAGAACAGAAGCATCAATGCTCCTAGAAAAATAAACTTCAAAGTAGGACAATGGGGCAGCTAGGTGGTCCAGTGGATAAACACAGGGCCTGAGTCACGAAGGATCTTCTTCCTGAGTTCAGATCCAGCCTCAGACACTTACTAGCCGTGTGACCCTGGGCAAGTCATTTCACCCTGTTGGCCTCAGTTTCCTTATCTGTAAAACAAGGTGGAAACGGAAATGGCAAGCCAGTTCAGTACCTTTCCCAAGAAAACCCCAAATGGGGTCATGAAGAGGCAGACGTGACTGAAACAACTGAACACACAAGACGACAGTACCATAACTCTTTTTCAAGGAAGGCACATTCACAGACCCATGCTCTAGATGTCTCAATTCTAAAATTCACCTAGTGTTGTTCTCTTTCCATGTGAATAAAAATTAAATTGTACTCAAATACTGGAATAGCTTTGATGACTTAGAAACATAGTATCACAGACTTAAAACTGGAAGGGAACTCACAGACTACCTATTCCACCTCCTTTATTTGACATATGATGAAACTGATGCCCCAAGACATTAAGTGGTAAACCACACAGATTTAAGTAGGCATCAGAGGCAAGACCTGAAACCAGGGCCCTTAACATGAGAACCAGTACTGCTTCCCTTTTACTATACTGCCTGCTTACCAATGAGAAAACATAATGCTCATTGACTGAAGTTACTCAACCAAAAGAAATGAATAGTTCAAGAAGGGAGGTTATTAAAACATCCAGAACTTACTCTGCTCTTGAAAAATAATTTGCAGTTGCAGGCTATAAAATAAACCCACATAAATCATCAGCAATTCTATATATTACCAACAAAGCCCAATAGCAAGAGATAGAAAGAGAAATCCCATTTAAACTTACTGTAGACATTATAAAATATTTAGGAGTCTACCTCCCGAAACAAACCCAGGAACTCTATGAACACAATTACAAAACACTTTTCACACAAATAAAATCAGATCTAAATAACTGGAAAAACATCAGTTGCTCATGGGTAGGCCGAGCTAATATAATAAAAATGACAATCCTACCTAAGCTAATTTACTTATTCAGTACCATACCAATCAAACTACCCAAAGATTATTTTATAGAGTTAGAAAAAATAATAACAAGATTCATTTGGAAAAACAAAAGGTCCAGAATATCAAAGGAACTAATGAAAAGAAATGCAGGGGAAGGTGGCCTAGCAATTCTAGCAATAAATTGTATTATAAAGCAGCAATCATCAAAACTGCTTGGTACTGGCTAAGAAATAGGGAGGTGGATCAGTGGAATAGGTTAAATATGCAAGACACAGTAGTCAATGACTATAGTAATCTATTATTTGATAAACCCAAAGACCCCAGCTTCTGGGATAAGAACCCACTCTTTGAAAAAAACTGCTGGGAAAACTGGAAAAGAGTATGGCAGAAACTAGGCATAGACCCAAATCTCACACCATATACCAAAATAAAGTCAAAATGGGTTCAGACTTAGATATAAAGGCTGATACCATAAGTAAACTGGGAGAACAAGGAATAGTTTACCTATCAGATCTATGGAGAACAGAAGAATTCATGACCAAACAGGAGATAGAGAACATTATAAAAAGCAAAATAGATAATATTGATTACGTTAAACTGAAAAGTTTTGCACAAACAAAGCCAATGCAACTAAGATTAGAAGGAAGGTAGAAAATTGGGAAAGAATTTTTACAACCAGTCTCTCTGATAAAGGCCTCATTTCTAAAATATATAGAGAATTAAGACAAATTTATAAGAACACAAGCCATTCCCCAATTGATAAATGGTCAAAGGATATGAACAGACAGTTCTCAGATGAAGAAATTAAAGCCATCTATAGTCATATGAAAAAATGCTCTAAATCGTTATTGATTAGAGAAATGCAAATCAAAACAACTCTGAGGTACCACATCACACCTATCAGATTGGCCAACATGAC